TAGTGTGCATTTGTGGCCAATTATAGCGAGGATGCATGTATAGTATAAATCCTGGTGACAGATTTCATGTGCATCACACTGGCCTTTTCTTCTTGTTGTCTCAAATTCACTATAAGTGAGGGAATAAATTAAATCCAAGCCACAAATCCATCACATCACATTCAACTAGAGAACCTCGTCTTTTTTTCTTGATGTTTCTTTGCAGCCAGACTAACCTGGGTAGCAAGCATTAAACTCATGTGTTGGCAAGACTGGGGTCAACATCCTCTTGGAAAAAGCTAAGATCGTCACTTGTATCTCCAAACACGTTCTTTCCATCACAATCCCATGCCTGGGACCAGCAGGTGAACAAAGATCAACCAGCAAATCAAAAGCTCTGCTTTGTTGCTCGGTTCTGTCTTTAGCACCTTGGCCAACTGACACACACTCAACCCCACCATCAATTTTCTCTGCTCATAGAAAAACCTCAACATATCTGCACTGCTCCCGTCTGCCTGCGTGTTCACTGGGTGGAAAAGGCCACGTGCTTCTGAGACAGAGTCGGAGCTTCCACTCAGGTCTATTGAGGCGTATTGAGATGGTGCTTGAACTGGGGTAGCGCTTGCGGTTGTCAGTATGTTAGACATGTGTCCAATGTTTGTCAGTATGAATTTTCCTACATGCTGTCTTGGTTATTCTCTCAAACAAAATAATCCACAAAAAGGCAATAGCTGTGTAGTTATAATATATGTATGATGAAAATTAAATAAGATTCAAAACATAATCTATAACTGGATAACTGAGCTCAGCAGATGTGATGGAACATTTTTTGGTAATTTGTGTACATAGATTGTCACATTACTGCGTTTTTTAGAAATATGTCACAGGGAGGGATTACAATTACTTACCATGTCCACTGAATTTTTAGCATCATAGTTGGCTTGTCTGTTACCTGGTGCAGCAGCTAAAAGTATAGTAAATATATAGTTAGTTTGTATCCACCAAACTGTCAAAATGTGGATTTATAGGTTGTGTTTTCAAAAATGGTCACATTCAGCAATCACCTGATTTAACGGGCCAGTGTGTAAGATTTAGGTGAAAGGGAACTATTGGCAGAAATGTAATGTAAAATAATCCTCATGATGTTTTCACTAGTTCGTTTCATCTTCATTGTATGAATTGTAGTTTTCTTTACTCCAGAAAAGGTCCTTTATATTTAAATACTTTATATTTACATGGAGGGGACCCTCTCTACAGAAGCCGCCATGTTTTTTACATTAGTCCAGACTGGACAAACTAAACACTTTGAGTTTTTATAACAACTGAAGCTACCACAGGTTCTTTTTCATGTTTGCAACATGCAATTTCAACACTAGATATCACAAAATTCTACACACTGTACCTTTAAGGTCGGAGGGTATGTCAACTAAGTGCCCTGCGTCTCTCTCTTTGACGTAGATGATAACTGAGGAGCAAAAGTAATTAAATGAGTAATGTAACAGATTACTTTTGCTGTTTAAGTAGGGCAGTTAGTCAGTCAATCAGTTAGTTAGAATCCTTGTTGCACTTCAGGTACTCCATGTTATTTGGCTCTGAATAGAATATGCCACCCTGGACATACAGTATGCGATGGAGATCAGTCGATATCCCATTAGATAATTATTAAAGGAACAACTGAGTTAGTGCAATCTGGCCTTCACGTATTGTGACTGCACTTTTAAACCAGGTGTGATGCAGCTTTGCATCCTCTACATGAATGCTCACATTAAAATGGATTTCCCTCATCTTTATCTACGCCAAGGAGGTTATGTTTTCACCCCTCTGTTGGTTGATTTGTATGTAAAATAGATTACACAGAAACGACCAAATGGATTACTACAAAACTTGGAAGAATGAGACTTATAGGCCAAGGAAGAATCCATACTATTTTGTTAACATTGTAAAACACAGCGGTTTTCATCATTTCAACTAATTTCCCAGAAAATGTTTCATGAATGTCAATGGAAAACTTTTAAGGCCAAATTTTATGAACTGATTTCTATTAGCATTTTGATGCAGCTTGATTGAATTCAAGGGAACTGTTGGTTCTTTGTGGAATATTGAGAGACATTACATCATGTTTTTGCTTTATATCTTATACATTTTCAATTTGTCATTCTATGTCTTAGAAAATCAATGTATGATTGATGGTTACTAATCAACAGCAGTTCTGACTCATTTAAAGGTTCAGTGTGTAGAATTTTATGATATCTAGTGTTGAAATCACATGTTGCAGCTGAACACCCCTCACCTCACCCTCTCCTTCCAAACATGAAAAAGAACCTGCTGCAGCCTTTAATTGTCATAAAATCTCAAAAAGTGTTTAGTTTGTTCAGTCTGGACTAATGTAAAAAACATGGCTGCCTCCATAGAGAGGGTCCCCTCCATGTAAATATAAAGTATTTAAATATAAAGGGTCTTTTCTGGGTAAAGAAAACTACAATTCATACAATTTAGATGAAACAAACTAGTGAAAACATCATGAGGATTATTCTACATTCAATTTCTGCCAATAGTTCCCTTTCACCTAAATCTTACAAAATGGGCCTTTAATGCAAGTCAGTCACATTTGACACACAACATGATGTGTGGAAACTGTTAGAAATGTCAGATTTATAAGATTGTTTTGACCAGAAAGCCAGAACACTATGAAAACATATAGCTGCGTGTGTGAGTGTGTGTGCATGTGTGTGCGTGTGCCTCCTGCTATACCTGTATTTTATTTGAAATGTTTTTCCAGTTTCCCCACCTTGACAATACGTTCAACACAAGTGGCAGGGACAGAGGAGATTGAATATGGTGGCACACTATAGCGTCTTTAAGATTAACACAAATGTTTTCACTCTGTCACATCAAGGTCACACTTATTTTCACCGCCTTTACAGCTCGTAGAGCTTAGGCGGTCATTCACCAGTGGGCAGTTTAAAGCAATGAATTGATGGCAAATATCATTGTGGGGTTGTCTGCTCTTTATTTGTCAGTTGCACACAGCCAAAGGGAATTGTGTGCAAAATAACACAAGGATGCAATGTAAGTTAGAGTGAAAGAAGCTGCAGTGACTGGAAAATATGGCACAAACTATAAGCAACTGAAAGTTTTATTGAGGCCTATACAGTGTTTTGAAATGTAAGTTTAGTTCAGATTATAATAGTGAGCACCATGTGACTGGGATGCCTCAGAAATGGTTGCACTTGTTTTCTGTCCTCCGGTGTGTGTGTGTGTGGAGTGACTGGTCAGTGGGGTACAAGTTTGAGGCTGGCAGCCGCTGGAATGACAGGGTAGCAAGCCTGCTGAGTTCACCTCATCCAGATAGAAGCTGGCAGCACACACACACACACATCTCACCACCCACCAACTCTGAGACGCTAATGAAGAAAACTGAAATCAAAGCTTTTTAAAAACACACACATTCCTTGGGGGGGGGGAACAAGGAGTTTCACTATTTTTAAATAGTTTCCAAGGGTTTAATGATGAGTTCTTATATAATGACTTGCCAAACATAAATCTCTGTCTGACCCTCTAAACCGACATTCTCAAAGGATTTCTGGGCCATTTCATCTGCACCCACTTTGTTTGGCATAAGATTTTTTTCTCACTGCAGGTTTCAAGCCACCATGGATGTGTTGTGTGTGGTTTGCGTGTGTTTTTTTGCCTTCTAAAAGCGGCTTCTGATCTGTGCGTATTTTTTAAATGACATCTTGTGTTAAATGGGCGCAGAAAGCGCTCCAGCACATTTGTGAGAGAACATTTAAAATCCAACACATTTGTTTTATATTATACGTACAAATATATGATGGATCTGTGAATCGCTCAAATGAACTCCACATTGAAAAGAACCATCACATGTTACACATTAATTCACGTGAATTAATGACTCAATAATTTAACACTCACAGGAGCAAATATATCTG